CCATACATGCGTATATATACACACACACACACGCACGCACACGCGCGCGCGTGTGTGTGTGTGTGTGTGTGTGTGTGTCCGCTGTGCATGCATGCGTGCGTGCATACGTGTCTACGTAACGCATCAGCTGATCGAGATCGCAGGGACGGCGTCGGCGGCGGCGACCGCACGCTCTCAAGATGTATCGCGTTCCTCGACCCCGCGGAAACGAGGCTGACCGAGCGGCGCGACCTCTGGGGGGAGGAGGGTGGCGAAACCTCCGGGGAAGATGGCGGGGGTTGGCCGCCGTGCGAGGTTAGGAGGTTAGGTGTTAGGTTAGCCAGTGGCCGCTGGACCGAGACGAAAGTCTCGCGGAGCCTCCGACCGCAAATGCGAGTCAATCTCTCTCTCTCTCTCTCTCTCTCTCTCTCTCTCTCTCTCTCTCTCTCTCCCTCTCTCCCTCACCCCCCCTCTCTCTCTCTATTTTACTCTCTCTCTTTCTGCCTCTTCGTAATGAAGATTTCTCGCACGCGGAGTAACCGCACCGCTCTCGCAAGACCATCGCCGGACCAAGTCGATAGAAATGGCGCCGCCGATCAGGCAAGCAGGCAGAAAATCAATCGCGTGCACGGCACGCGGCGTGTTTTGACGCGCCTATTCTTCCTCTCCTCGCAAGCGGATCGGAGCAAGTGAGCTTCGCGAGCAACCTCACGACGCTAGAAGCCGGCAAAATGATTTCCTTCCCCTTCCCCTCCCCCCCCTCCCTATCTACCTCGCAGAAACGCGAGAATTTTTCTTCGCGCTTCGCGATATTCAAGTCTAAAATTATGGACGAGCAAATTGTCGCCAAGGCTGTACGTACGTCAGTTTCATAAAAATCTGAGATTGAGAAGAAATGGATTTAAAAAAAAGTAAAGAAATGGAGCGCGAGCGATGGCGACGTTACCGACTGAGATAGCCGGAATAAAACGGAACCCACGCATGCTGCACGCATTGCATTAATGCATAGTATATATATATATATATATGTGTGTGTGTATACATACATAGACGAGTGATTCGCACTCGCATTAACTCGCATTATTGCGAGAGAAAGAGAGAGCATGCCGTTTCCGTCGCGGTCGCGCGTCGCTCGCGCGACGTGTAACCTATCGCTTGTTGGCTTACTTTTGATCACTCGATCCGTCGTGGGGAGTTTCTGCGAATTGTTGGAGGTCATGCTGTATTAGGATAAATGACGAGCGGGCGCCTCACACTATTTCACTCTCTCGCTCTCAGCAGCAGCAGGCTCGCCTCTCGCGCTGTCCCTCTCGCTCGCGCCCGCGCTCCGTTATTTTCTTTTCCGCTTTCTTCCACCTCTTTCTCGCACCGTTGCTCGTCCTCCTCCACCTCCTCCGCCTCTTCTTCTGCTTCTTGTCCTCCTCCACCTTCTCCTCCTCCTCGTCGTCGTCCACTCCTCCTCTTTCTCCCTCTTGTCTCGCGTGCTTGTTACTCGCGCGAGATAGCGGCTACCTTCAGCGTATTATACACGGAGGGGTTGGGTAGAAGGAGAGGGCGGTATTTTCACCTCGAGAGCCCGGCGCGGCCGCCACGCACACACATGTAACACACGCGCGCACGGAAATACGCCGCCAGGAGGGAGAGAACGGACGCGCGGATGGCGGGGGGGGGGAGGGAGGAGGGAGTCGATCGGTCGGTCGGTCGGTCGGTCGGACGGGGGGAGGGAGGGAGGGTGGCGGAGAGGTGACGGAAGTTATCGCACGGCGCGGCACATCGGTGCCTAGGAACTGTTCACGGGCGTTCTTGACGGAGCCACCGACGCGAACGCGCGCGGGGGGGGGGGGAAAAGGGGGGAGAAAGGGGGAGAGACGACACTACTCTTTTTCTCTCTCTCTCTCTCTCTCTCTTTTTCTCACTCTCGCTCTCTCGAACGAGATCTCTCTACTCCCTCGGTCCTCCTCAGGGCGGTCCCCTTCTCGCCCTCGGGGGGGAAGGGGGGAGAGGGTAGGCGCGACCGTGCACTCGCGGGTGCACGCGAGTATCGACGAGCGGCGGGAAACGGAGAGATAGAAGAGAGAAGAGGGAGAGGAGGGAGTGATCCCTCGTCGGACTCTCTCCTAGCGAACTCGCGGGTTCGCTTCGGGATCGCTGGACCACGACGGGACCACGCGCGAGCCGCACGATGATGACGATGGCCGATTTTAGATGGCGATGGCGACAACTCGATTCTGTTGCTTGACAGGAATGAAGTTGGCCACGAGTCGGAGCAGAGCGAGTCCTTCCCGCGAGCGCGCGGCACTACAACACAATTTTACGGGCAGTAGTTGGAGAGCGAGGGACGGTGATGATATCGAGACAGCGGTGACGGTGATGGTGGTGGTGGTGGTGGAGGCGGCGGTGAGGACGATGTGGAGTACGACGGCGGCGGCGGCGGCAGCGGCGGCGGCAGCGGCGGCGGCAGCGG